TCCCCTTGAAGAAATAAATGTGTATTCCTTACACATTACAAAGAGCCATACGTTTTGAAACGAGTCCAAGATTTCGTAAAAGAATTGCTAAGATTATTCTTTTTATTTATGTTGCCACGTGTTTGTAAACACGCGGAACATTTTTACGTGATCTTTCTACTTCATCTTGTCGCAGACGAGTGGCACTGAGAAACTCGAGAGGAATTGCCCGAACGAGTGAGCCAGGTGGTCTTTCTGGTTTTCAGGTTTCAGAAATTGGTCTTGATGATCTGAGAAGACAATTTTACGAGATTGTGTCGAAGAATTAAGATAAAGATGATGAAAAAGATGGGGAAGGGTTTTGTGAATTATAGACGGCCAAAATGAAGTTCCTAGGGATATTTATCCTAAACTCTCAATATATTTTAGATTGAACATAGTCGAGCCATAGTAAAATCTAGTAAAAAATTTTTAGCATTTTTTTCTAGGTGTGCGTGATAATAAACCTGATTAAATCCAAAATGTAATGCTTCTTATAATATTAATAAGAATAACTTCACCCGAACATAATCTATCCTTAATAAATCCTTAATCAATTTTGATATATATTATTACATTACGATTCAATTTTCTGCGATGCGTTTAAAATACAAAATTGCCCGAAACGAAGATAAAGTCAATGTATAAAGTATAATGCTTCTTACAACATTCTACAGTATTCTCTAAAATGCGAATTTATATAAAAAATTCACCGTCTACTGACTGAGATTCGGATCGAAATCTAGAGAAACTTAGAAAAAATTTTATGCTGCTATTTTCGCGGGAAAACGAGGTCAGATTCGAAGAAAAATCACGAGGTTTTCGATGAACTGAGGTATGGCGGGGGAATTGAATGGATGATGTTCGGGGGAGAGCTTTTCCTCGATCATGTAACACCCGCAGCGGGACGGAAATAATTTCAGCCGGTGAAGAGGGGTGAAGAAGCGAGACGGTCAAGTGGAACAAGTCAAGAATTTCTACATCATACGTTGCAATGACTCAATTTAATATCTCCTGGATTATCAATTGGATTTCATCGTCCAAACAGATTTCCTTCAAAGAGGCAATAAAAATTATTAATTGATTATTTAATAAATCCAACCGATCGAAATTATTAATTAATTATTTAATAAATCTAACCGATCGAAATGGATTTCGTATGGAATTTTTTTTTTTTTCGATTACTTTCCGGAACCTAACCTAAACCTAACCTAAACCATACAAACAGTAAGAAATATAATAAATATCACGTAAAAATGTTATGAACCTAACTTAACCTAAACCATAGAAATAGTAAGAAATATAATAAATATAACATAGAAATGTTATAAACCTGACCTAAACCATAGAAACAGTAAGAAATATTATGAACCTAACCTAAACCATAGAAACAGTAAGAAATATAATAAATATAACATAGAAATGTTATGAACCTAACCTAAACCTAAGAAACAGTAAGAAACACAATAAATATGACATAGAAATAGTTAGAAGAACGAGATTGTTCTCAGGAGAACTGTTAAAAAAAGTTAACGTGCTTTTTATTCTTTTCAATCTGAGTTTTGTCTCGGTGATCTAAAAATTTCAACGTTTGAACGACGACAGTTGAGGAACATCACCCTAACTAAGGTGATCCCTTATGAAACCTATTCAAATCTATTTTAACGCGGGGGCAATAAAAGATGTACACAACTACACGTGTATAATTAGAACGTTGTCCGGAGACCACGTGACACGTCGCACCGTGGAGTATCGCCTCGCTGATTGACAACGGGATTCGATTATGCTTCTGAGAATGGACGTCCGTTCAATCGTGACAAAAATAGCGGAAGCCAGAGCAAAGAGGAAGCGCTGAAAAATTAATCGCCACGCGAAAAGTGCTCGCTCCTATGTATACGTAATCGAGAAGGGTGCAACGATCTCATAGTGTTCTCCATTATGCAACGCTGCGCTACTGCAAAGAAAGAAAATCCACAGAGACTTTTAATGAAAAACCAAGAAAGAAGTCGAATACAATCACGTGGGAATGATTCATACCTTTGGAACTTTTTGTATTATATTATTACATGGACAGTCTCGCTTGGGCATTGCCATTGTCATTATATTAATTTTTTCTCGAGATGAATAATCTAATTTTTATTATTTTCATCTTTCTGCAAGATTCATATTGTTCCACGTGTCTCACAAATACAAATTTGGTTGGATTCTTTTTTTATTTCGGTTCGATAGTGTGGCTAAGGCTATCGAATTCCGGTTCTTCTTTTTTCGTTCGATAGGGGCAGCGTTTCCGAAAAGTTACCGAGAGCAGGAGTGCCACGTATACGTACATGTGAGAATACACTCATCCGCTATTAACAGCATCTTGCTCAAATTTCTATTTTTAGGAAGACTTATACGCGTGCACGTGCCTTTATGTAAAAAGCTCGCCCGCGTATACATATATATATATATGTATATGATCGCGGTGTGGTCACGCCCACGCAAGCCTAGCTTTTGGGAAGCCATTGTGTTGGACTACCTTGGTCCAACCATCTGAACCCCTTTCTCCTTTATCGAGATTTATCGAGATTTATCGATTACTTGGCGTGTAATTTTCGTGACACGTTGTAGTGTGTGCGCTTCTCTCGGAAATATTTTTGAAAATTAATTCTTACCCATTTCGAAGTTGTTCTTCTGAACTTTCTTACTTCAATTCGGAATTTTTAAAGATTATGGTTTTTTCTACATTTATACATTTATTACATTTTATACATTTTTCTTTGAATCCGGTCGATTGTCTGTCTTGGATATAATCATTTTTTCAAAAAAGATCCTCTCGAAGATTAATTTCTGCCTGGGGCGAAAGAAGTTACTTGTACTCTGTCCAATCACATGAATTGATAATTTTTAATAGTGATAAGTTTCTCATAAATACGTAAGATGCAGGCTTCATTCTTTGATAGCTTCTTCCAAATTCCTGTTATTTTACATAACTAGGATGCTGTGCGACAATTAGATTGACTGAAGCTTGCTCGTCCCTTCTCTCACCAATTTCAAAAATGGAATAAAAACGAACGAGGAGAAATTCGACTTTTTGGTGGGGAAAGTTTGGGAAAGATTTCGCTCTGAGAATTGGGCCGGGTGCCAATTCGGCTGGTGTTAATCTAAAAATTATGGTATCGCGTTGCTGTTGTCGGGCGAATGCCATTAGGGCCCGGGAATTAGTCCAAGATGTATGAGTAATAAATTTATTTCGGTGTTTCTCTCGCTGGTTCATCGCTCAGAAAACATTCTCCCGTGTAGCACAATGTAAACGAATACCGAGTAAGTACCATATCGTCACCAACGTGACTCATACTACTATCAACAGATTTTTACCACCTCCTCTCGAACAATTCCTAATTTTAATTCAACTTAGTCTCGCGAAACTTTCAATCGGTAATACGGAAAGAAAATACGAGTTATTTAAAAAAAAAAAAAAAAAAAAAA